AAAAAAAAAAAAAAAAAAGAGAGAGAGAGAGAGATGGCTTGGTGTCTGTAGTTCAGTGGTTAGAGTGCCAGCCATATGCACCAGGGCTAGTGGGTTCAAACCTGGCCAGGGCTTGCTAAACAACAATGACAACAATAAAAACAACAACAACAACAACAACAAAAATTGCTGGGCCTTGTGACAGGGGTCTGTAGTCCTAGCTACTTGAGAGGCTGAGGCAAGAGAATCACTTAAGCCCAAGAGTTTGAGGTTGCTATGAGCTGTGACACCATAGCACTCTACCAAAGGCAACATAGTGAGGCAAAAAAAGAAAAGAAAAGAAAAGTTAGCTGTGGCTCAGTGAGCATTTAGCAGGGGGAGTGTAAACCTTGGCCAATACCTGCCAGCTACTCCTCTGGGTGTGTCTCCTTATCAATTGTTTGGAAGTGCACAGCAGTGAGTCCTGATCTGTGGCCTCTTGCTCAAGAAACGCTAGAAGACAGATAGTAAGCGGTGGTGTTTGCCAAAGTAAATTTTGTGCTTCTGCCCTTTACATTTTCTGATGAAAGATCATTTATAGGGTGAAGCCATTATATTTGAATTTGGGGATGCAGGAATAACAGACTAAGGTGCTGCTAAACTTACAGTTGCTTTTGCAAGTTTCTTTATTCATCCTGTGTAGACAAGCCAGGCTAGACCAGGAATCCATTGTCTAGCATAGCAACTGGCACATAGTAGGTGCTTGGTAAACATCAGAATGACTTTATTTTTGAGACAGGGTCTCTCTCTGTTGCTCTGGCTGGAGCACAGTGGTGCAAACATAGTTCACTATGACCTTAAACTCTATGGTTTAAGCAATCCTTCCACCTCAGCTTGTCAAGTAGCTAGGACTATAGCACCAGACTGGACTAATTTTTAGAATTTTTGTAGAGACAGGGTCTGTGTGGTCCAGGCGGTGATGAATGCCTGGAATGAGTGATCTTTCAACCTCCAGCCTTAACCTTCCAAAGCACAAGATTATCAATTTAAGCCACCTATGCCCTGAATCATTTTATAATGCCCTACACAGTCTGCAGAATAGGAGTGATCATTCTCCCATTATTTGTAAATAGGAAGGCATTTTTCCTTATGTGGCTCTGTTGAAGAAACTGTGGTCTTACCTTTGTGGAAGAAATCCTGAGGTTCCCAGTGATCCCAAATGCTGAGCAAAATGAGACTGAAGAAAGGAATTAGGATTTGTGTTCAATTTTACTCTATATTGACAGAATCAGATTATTATTTCCTTCCTCTCTATATTTTTCTCTAAGCCTCTTCTCTCCCTCTCCCTAAATGAAAGGCTTCTGTAGTAAAAAGGATAAAGGAAAGAAAATGGCTTATTTCAATAGCACAAACAGACCTGTCAAGCAAATGAAGACAGAACACATAATCAAGAGCATGTTGGCGGCTTGGCGCCTGTGGCTCAAGCGGCTAAGACGCCAGCCACATATACCCAAGGTGG